CAGCCTCGAGTCTGGACTACACTTCCCAGGAGTCCACTCAGGTGAGAGTGATGTCAATTTCATCATCAGCTGATCTACTCCAGAACTCCTGTCGGAGAACCACGTGACCCACAGAACCCCCTGCTGTCTGCAGATATCTCAAGACTCATGACGTCATGTCTCACAGGTGCACTTGCAGTAACGCGCACACTTGCAGAAATGAGTGCGTGACCAAATGCAGTGTGTGTGTGCTGATCAATAGCCGATGACGTCAGGGTCGGATATTATCACCATCATCTTCCTCAAAAACAGACGGTGTTTGATTGGCTCCTATCGTCAGTAGCGTGGATAGTGTGTTTGTGTGTGCGTGTCAGAGAGACCCTCACCCACGCGGATCGATCATAGTAACGCTTTCAAACCGATAGGACGGATCGATCAGACTCACCGGGCTCTGGCGGTTCCACTCCGGTTCGTTCCACTGAAGCTGCCTCGTCACAGAGCAGCGCGCGGCGGACTCCTCATCCTCCTCCGACCGGGATGAAGGCTGGAGAGGCGGGGGCGGGGCTGACCCGGCTTCTGTCCGCAGTCACGGAGCTGCAGCGCCGCCTGCTGACTGCGCGCTGTGACACGTTTACCACAAATCCGCGTGAACGTGCACACCTGCGCACGGAGGTAACGAGCTTGTGTGTGTGTGTGTTTGATTTTTGCTGCAGACTCACACTGAAGCCTGGACTGTGATTAGCGGTCAGACTGAGGCTGATCATGTGACAGCCTCATCTCGGCCCCCTCCCACACAGCCTTAATTGGTCAGTTCATTCTGACCAGCAGTCGGGAGACGTGTGTCCGAACTCTGAGTGCTCTTTGACTCCACAGGAAGCACACCCACCCACACCCGCCTACCATCATCCAGCAGGTATGCAGCTGCTCTGTGTGAGCTCATGCTCCTGTGAGTCTCCATCAGAGGAGCCGTAGATGATCGCATCGCTTTGTCCTCCACCTATGGAGGCTCTCTGAGCTGAACTCTCCCCTCCTTCAGCTCAGAGACCCTCAGCCTCTGTGAGAGCAGCTTTCTGCTCCCGTCATCACACTACTCCACCCCATTGAGACGACTCCAGCTGGAGACCCACGCTCCACAGGATTCAAGCCTCAAATCATTTCCTGCGTGTCCTCTACGACAGCAGTGCCTGGACAGAGAACGGCCAACATTCAAAAAACGACACTTTTGTTTGCTCCTAAAAAACTTTATTGAAACATGTGACTCAATCAAATTCACACTGAGTGGTTATCAAAACTGAGACTTTATATAAAACATCATCAGGGTTTTATGGGCTCTTCCTCTCCTCGTGGTCACACACAGGTGTCTAACGCTAACCTCCACTCCTCGCTCACCAAACAGAACGGAGTGAGCTCTTGATGGGGCGGAGTCTCTATAGACCAGACTTAACGAGGATCGATATTTCAGTCATCCATCAGAGTCTCTCGCATTCAAAGCCAGAACTGGTCTCAGAGGGGCGGGGCATGTCGATGTAGAACACCTCCTTGTTGACGGGTGGCGGCGTGGATGGCGGACTCACTGCCCCCGAGTCCTGGGTCAGGGCCTCGTGGGGATGGTTCACTAACGAGTACTTCTTTTCAGGCCGGCTCAGATGAACTTTGAATCTGGCCCCGCCTCCTGTGGCAAGACGACCGTCAACCTTGGGTTTGAAACGCTTCAGCTTGACGGTGTCTTTGGCGTCACGCGTGCAAGGCAGCAGGACCGCCACGTCTTTGCGGAATTTGGAGCTGAGACCAAAGTAGATGAGCGGGTTGTAGAAACTGGCAGATTTGGCAAAGAGGCGGGTGAAGATGCTGGTGAGGTTGGGCACGTGGAAACCCCAGGCGGACCACATGGACACCACGGCGTACGGCGACCAGGCCAGGATAAAGGCTGTGCAGATCACTATGGAAACCTGCAGAGACAGAGAAAGTGATCGAACTTCCCGAACGGCACTCTGGTGGGCAGGAGATGACAGCGACAAACACTCACGACGGTCACGTCTCTCTCGATCTTCCGCTGGCGGTCGGTCAGGTCTCCCTCGGCCGACAGCGCGTTGCCTCGCTTCACTGTGTTGATGATGGACACGTAGCAGAACAGCATGACGAGCACAGGGATGAAGAAGCAGCACACAAAGATGGAGACGATGTAGGACTTGTAGACGCTCGAGTAGTTTGCCTTGGCCCAGTCAATCTCACAGGTCCCATAGCCGCGATCTGCACAGACGACAGACACTGTCACTAAAGGAAGGCCTTCCACTGCTCACTTCCTGTTCTATAAGGGCGCAGCGGACCCCTGACAGACCAATCAGCACGCGGAAGCAGGACACTGGTGTTTTATGGTCCCTGCTTTATCTGAGCCTCATTCACTCTAACGCACCGCCCTGGAGAGACCTGCAGCCACTTCCTGTACTGTGAGGGGGTCAGGGGTCAGAGGTCAGGGTATTCTTGCCTGTGTAGCTGCCCCAGCCGAGCAGCGGCGCCCCGGACCAGAATCCAGCTGCGATCCAGATGAGCGACAGACACACGAACACACTGGTCCTGGTGATGTAATGCGCTGAAACACACACACTCACTCAGGTGACATGGTAATAACATGTTAACACTATGATGGTGAACACCTGATGGGCGGACCTCTGACCTCGGCTTGGGTGGCATCCTTTGATGTAGCGTGTGATGCTGATCACGGTCAGCGTGTAGATGCTGCTCAGACCGAACACCAGCGTGAAGAACCCGTCCACCTGCGTGAGAACACATCACAGGTGAGCCCGTCACGTCCCACCACAGGCTGAGTCTGAGCTGGGACGTCAGTACCTGGCAGGTCCAGATGGAGGAGATGAGGTAGCCGCTGTCCTGGAAGACGTTGAAGATCTCGATGATTCCTCTGGAGTATCCGAACACGGAGATGCTGGCGTCTGAGACGGCGAGGTTATAGGTCAGGTAGTCGGTGGGCAGCAGCGAGGCTCTCTGCCTGTAGAGGACGAAGAGGACGATGCTGTTCCCGAACCAGGACATCCATCCTGGAAACACACAGGTGCATGCAGGTACTTCAGTGTGTACAGTAAGTACACAGTGTACACACAGTACTATACAGGAGCAGCTGAGGGTAATCCAGCAGGTCACTACTAAGAACACTTAAAGTGCAGCTGATGTCCAGCAGACAGGTGAGAGCGACACCTGCTCTGTTACCCACAGCCAGAGAAGCTCATCAAAGCTGCTGCAGCTGAGAGCGCTGCTGTGCCCACAGCATGATCAGAGTATTGATCGCTGATCACTGACAGACTGAAGCCAAATAACATCACACAGATGCAGGACACAACGATGACACAGCACATGTGTGTGTGTGTGTGTGTGTGTGTGTGTGTGTGTGTGTG